AGAATGTGAAACGGGGAACACTCACAGCTGCCTGACACCTGTGGTCTCCGTTGGCGTAATCGGTCTGCGACGAGAGGTGGGTAACTAGGCGGAGAAACAGATCTTTATCACTCACCAGTCCCCAATCGTAATTCATATTGCGCCCGTTGTATTTCTCAACAATTCCCGACCTTCCCAGTGTACGAGCACTCGCAGTTGCGTACGCGGGGAAACCGGACGCCAACCCATACTTGTAGTCGTCTATGCCATCGCAGTCGTCGACCGAGACCGGACGGTCTGACGTTAGCCATAATAGAGATCCGGGATTAGCTAGACGTATTGAAAAGTGAGGTACTATCACCGCATACAATATCAAGAGAACTGACCGATCCAGAAATGCAACCGATCATCGTCTTCAGTGGTGACTCTCAGGGCTGCATAACGCTGGGCCATCTGGGCGCCAGCTGAATGCCCTCCAACGACGACAACCTATATCAATGAGCAAGACAGTGGCGCTGAAACAAAGAGGAATCATTACCTGTAGATTTGGATAGACAGTCTTGTCCATATAATAGGCAATGAGCGAGTCGAGTACATCGAAGCTGCTATAGCCGGATATAGAGTCAGGAGCGACATTCGTATGCCCGCTCATCCATGTCGTCCGTCCCCAAAGGAGCTGGCCGTCTCTGGCCGCGCCCGCGGTTAGATCATCTTCATCGAAGAAGCAGGGTCCCAAGATGGATATATGCTCGCGCACGATACTAGGGTCATCATAGGTGGCATTGTAAAGTGCGTTATTCATCGCATTCCAATCTAGGGGTCACCATCAGCGCCACATGCAAATGCAGCGAGTAATGAACGGTGCGTACAATACCAGCAGTCGCGGGGCTTTTGACAGCGTCTATGGTTGAGTAAAAACGGATACCGAATGAGAGTCTGGCCTACCTTTCCATGCAGAACAATAACTGCTCTTGTGACTTCTGTCGCATTCAGACCCGAAGATTGGTAGACAGGCTGAACGGAATGAGCTACTCGTCGATTGAAGTAGAAACCATGCATACCATGTAAGCACCGAGGTCTGAATCAACGACCCACTTGGTATGCCTGTCAGCGTCGACGACCTTCGGGAAGTTCTGCCAGCCGTCATCTTGGTTACCACCAACGGTAGGGTTTGTATTGCTCTGCTGAGCGAGAGTGGTATAAATGAGCGAAGGGAGTATAAGGAGGGAAGAGAGTAACATGGGTGCACTGGAACGAGTTCTCGTCAGTCGTGAGCGAACGAATTTAAAGGATTCTCACCCGAGCCGCGCAGTGGTCCACAAGTAAAAATAACAATTCGGTCCATGCATTTCATTGTCCAAGGTCCGAAATTTTTGACCGAAGGAGAAATCCTCGTGTTTCGAGACGATCCCTGAGCTGGATACCGAGTGTGAGGTCATCGAAATGTGAAAATGTGACCATCAGAGGACTGGAGCGCCCACACTGCATGAACAGTGGAAGGCATGATAAACTATAAAAATAAACATCCTCCGTAATAAAACCGTTCTTCCTGTTCCCACACGTTTGCGTTATGTGTCGGTTACGCGGTCTTGAACTGTGATAGAAGGTATTTTCTCGTATAGGGGTGCGAGCATCGTGTCGTTGTTTTCAATTATCAGAAATTGAATTCCGGTGACGGTTTGACACCAGCCGAGAGTAAAATTGTTTCTAGTAAGAGCCCGTTAACGGAGTGGGCAGAAATGGGGTTAAGAGGATTTGAGGATTACGCTTCGACGACAGGCACCCGATCCGCCACCCCCTCATTTCGAAGTCTTCGACTTCCAATTTTGAATCGCTAAGACGACCCGGTACCGCAGTCCCAAGCTACTTCATCCCTCTCATCCAGTTGTGCCATATGAATACACATGTGCTCGACGTGAAAAAATCGGAAATTCGGTGAATTAACGGATGCTCGGAAAGAGACTGCAAAGATCACCGTTCATTTCGATAGATAGCGAAGCCTCATAAGTATGGCTCACATTCACTGTGCAAACCGGTATGGACGGTCATAGGGTGGTGAAGAGCGGATAGGCTGAAAAGGGCATGTGTTGATGAGACGGTGAGCGCGTCGGGCACCTTCGGAGTCTCAATTTGAAACTACGACAACGCCTGGCCTTGGCACGGCGAGCGAATACCCTTGTGGAGTTGGAATGATTCCCGATGATAAGGCAGCTGTTGCGTTTGCTTTTCGGCCGGGCCAAGGGGGACTGTGCCGTCTAACGATGACGGAACTGATTTGCCGAGACGTGTGAAGCAGGAGGGCCCGAGCTCAACAAAGTTGGAATTTGGAATGCTGGTGTCGTCACAGAAAAATGAAGTTTTAAGCGACGGTTGCGTTTAAGGAACATAATGAAAGCATTGTGACGAAGGAGTGTGAATATCCGTGGACGGCACATGATGAGGGAGAAGCCAATGCAGAACGGATGCCCCTCTGGCCCATGAATCGCTGTTGTTAACCCAATGAGCTTATGGATATGGCGGCTTCGCACACTCTCAATGTCAAGGTAAAGATTGCACCTCGCGGCGCGGCTCAAGGTCTCTACCGCCACCCCCTTGGATGCGGTGTCGTCTTATGGGTAAAATAACGCCTTTGTAATGATGATCAAGAACCATTCGTGAGCGCTCCAATAGAGGCATCAAGGTTACTCACCAGAGGTACTGGAAGTAGTCGCATAAGGCCCTGCAAATCCGTCACCGAAGGCAAGGCTGGGAAAGACTGAAACTACCTTTGCTTCCTTCAGCTGATCAGACCGTGGAGCAAAATCCGTGCCGTCGCGCATCCATCAAGCTGATCATCGCCGGTCAGCAGGTGCGGGACAGATCGGGTGGTCTCTGATATGTGACCCACGGCAGAAGCTTGGAATCTTTTAAGACGATGCCATGAACAAAAACAAGGGGTGGTTGTTCTTTTTAAAACATCGCTGAAAGTGCGGCTGCGCACGAGACCAGGAACCACCAGGCAAAATTCACCTCGAGAGAAAGCGAATCACCTTGTATAGCTTCAGCAGTAGGAAACTCGACGTCCGGGGATCAGCGAGTTTCCGTAGGGTGATGGAGTGTGACTGGCCGTCCGAGAACTGGTGCAGCGGCCATCCGTCGTGAGATGTGGGAGGGTGAAAATGAGTGATCAAAGGGACGGTACGCGTGATCGTGCCGCTCAGGTTTTCGAACCTGTCGAGATGAACACATGCCCGCTTTGCTCTCCAACGACTCTTTTTTGGGGTCCTAGATCATATATCCAGGTTCCATCGGTTAGAGTGAGGGCCACAGCGCACGAATGTGCCTGATTCGTTGTAGAAGCACGTTAGGTATCCCACAGAAGACGCTCGAGAAAAGAGGGTGTCACTCTCTACTAGCTGATCAGGAGAGATCGCAGAGGGAATGAATGGAGGTATTTACCAGACTTATGTTCATACATCACAGAAATATAGCCAACAGCACAGGTCCATTTCCGGGATCCAGCTCTCATAGAACGAGCATAATGAAGGAAACTAGTGTTCGAGCATTCAGGACGGTTTCTAAGAAGGGAGATAAATCAATATAAAGTACAGGTGGGCAAGACGGAGAACCTACGAAGAGACATCTGGGTTAATTCATATTTGCATTCTACTGGCCGATGAGACTGGGACAGACGTTAGGGTTTACTAGTAGCAAGCAATCCTCATTACGACGTCCCTAACGTGTACAAACACGATGTCTGGGGATGAACGAATTCGTGTATGATGTCGAATTGCGGCTGGCCGTCCATGAACCGGTGCAGCCGCCATCTGCCTTTGAGGTCCTGGATCATAGATCCGAGTTCCGTCCGCCAGAGCGGTGGCCACAGATGAGACTTCGTAGTAAAAGCGCAGTTGGTGTCTCACAGAACGCGCTCAAGAGAATAAGGCATCACACTCTACTATCTAGTAAGCACGTGCGCTCGCGATCGCAGAGGGATTGATGGAACATCCCAGAAATGAGGGGGAGCCAGCAGCGCAGGTCGAATACCAGGATTCACGTTTCTTAGAACAAAAGTAACGAAGGCAAGTAGAGTTCGCGCGTTCCGTTCAGCTTCTACGAAGGAGAATTACAATCAGTACAAAGTAAAAAAGGCTAGAACACTGAAACTCTACGAGGAGCCATTCTGTTTGGTTAGCGTTTGCATCCTGCTGGTCAACGAAATGGGGGCCATACCTTTCAACAAAGGTTTTAATAGCAAAAAGTAACCACTTTGACGTCTACAAGGCGTCTAATGAGATTTTAGGACGGCGAGAGTCGGTTTGCTATTACATATCCTTATCGCTTTTCCACAGTAGTCTTTCTCTGATGGGTCTTGCCTTATGAATGTCTAGTACGAACAGGAAGTCAATACGAACCAAAGAAGAAATAACTCGGATCCAAACTACCTGAAAGGTTGGTAAATGTCTTCGGTGCTTTCGTGGTGGTCAAAAACAGGTTGCGAAGACGAGAATGGAAAGGATGAGTCATCTGTTCCCACGCCACAGACGCGTCTTCGGAACTCTTCACGTTCGTGTATTCCTCTTTGATTTTGCTATTGGTATTGAAAGATATGTGCAGTGATCTGATATGTCATCGAATTCCATGGATGCCTGAAGTTGCCGGTTCCGGCCTGACCTCTATTGTCTCCGTTTCGGGACAGGTTTCGTAGAATCGTACTGGATGTGTCGCGGGTAAAATCCAAGTTTGGCTTTCATTGAAGAGGATCGTGTTTACATAAATCTCAAGGAAATGCAACTATGGGTGAACGTGCACACTGTACTTCATATTAATATTGTCAATGTCATCATTGAGTACCGTGCACCACTCCTTTGGTAATGAGTACACGGCGCACAAGACAACCATCGATTCTGCTCCGACGCCCTCAAACAAGTTCAACACTGAACAGAGCCATTACCCGTACTTCACTGCCCTTGATGATCAGACTGATGATCGAATTGCTTTACATCAGAACAATAGAAGCCAAAACAAACATCCTAATCCTACTGCCCCAGAGAGGCTCGAACTCTCGACCTTCCGATGACAATACTATCTCATTGTCGAAACATAACAGTCGGACGCTGTAACCAACTCAGCCATGGGGCAGGCGGTCCGCTCTGCAGTTATGCCCTCCATTACGTCCCACCATCTCCTAGATCCGGACCCAGTCCGAAAGTCCAGCTCGTGTTGTCTATGGAATATCTATGAAGAATGACATAATGTTGTCTTCTGTTTGTGTTCTGAGACACCGAAAGCAAGAAAACGGGCAGTTACCACATAAATTCTTTGCAGGACTTACTTGCTCCTAGACCAACCTGAATTGCATTGATGATGCCTCCTCCATTGAATTGAAGGTTCACATTTCGGCGGGTGTAAGATGCAACCGATAGGGTATGTGTCTTTCAAGTTTCAACTGACTGCGTATTTACAGAACCATACTAGTTGAATTTGGCTGAGGAATGATGGACATAATTAGCACAAAAGAGCAACGTATCGGAATAGTACGAAAGTAAAATGATGAACAAGGTCTTAGTCCGTATGAACCCAGTAATCTATCGAGAAGAGAGACTTGTGTTGAAAGAGATACGTGATATACCCGCCTCGATCCCAACACATTCCCTGGTTCGGTACCGTAGCAGTCGTACTTCTTACTAGGTATAGTAGTATTCACTCTCTAGCTAGTTAAGTATGTATGGACGGGGGACTGTAGTACGGACGCCGGCACGCTTCTGTTGAGGAGCACCGTCGGGTAATAAAACTTCCTTCCTTCCTTCCTTCCTTCCTATACTGTACGCCGCCGCAGTGGACTCTTTCTTTTATCCGTTCTCCTATACTTCATACATCAGTATATATACCAGTAGATCGATCCGTAACCTCAGTCGTTTCACCTATACTACGCCAACTGAGGTATGCTTACTTTCTCATATATCCATATACTTTTACTTACTCTCGTAGTTCTAACTACGTTGTTCCTTTTACTCTAGGTACGGTATACCAACAATACAGTCGTTTCACCTATACTGTGCCGACTGAGTTCTAACTATGTTGTTCCTTTTACTCTAACTTGGTACCAGCGGAATCTGCTAAGCTGGCTAGCGAAGGCAAGGCCGCGATGTGAGCCAAATCGACGGCGCGTTGATCCCCGTTGGTCTAAAGTAGTAAACACTTGTATAATCTGCATGATCTTTGTCTAGGTCATGGCTATACCAGTGGCGCTTGAGCGTGCCAGCAGGAGGTACACGTTCACGGCGCCTTTGTTATTTGATTCTGTGGTTAACGTATATCATCTATAGTGATCAATATTGGGCCAGCGTACAAGGGGAATAGACTACATGTCGCCGACACAGGCGGCGAGGGGGATCTATGAAATCCAGTGATTCCATGAGCCTCACCGACGTTTAAAGTAGGTGGTAGTTCACTAGAAAGGTTCGACGATATCTTAACTCCACAAGCCGGCATATTAGCATCTCACTGTTCCTGTCGCTGATCAACGAGTGATCCGAGCGAGTCACAAATCTCGAGAGATGCAAACCACTTAGGTTGGTAGCATTGAAATTTGATGGCGATCCTATACTTTCATAGATTAAGTGCATGTTTGAGAAGCCATCAAAAACGACCTAGAAGAAAGTATTGAACAAGCTCCCAGCTTCCTGGGTAAGCCACTGAATAGTCGATTTTTTTCTCGTGTATTCACGCAAAACTTTGACCCCACTGGAACACCGTAACGCAGTAGAGGCGTGCATCTGAGGGAGCGATAAAGATAAGGGGATCGTCCATACGATAAAAAATGATCGCATTCAAGCGACAAATGGCAGCATTCGCAAAAATCTAATAAGCCGGCCGTGAGTTGACGTAGTTGCCAGAAATAAATATGAAGGCATGTAACATGTCCAGTCCACCCAGAATATTCACAGGACCTTCCACCATACCTTCAACGTCGGCTTCACTGGATAGTGACATGTCTTGGGAAAATCGCTGATCTGCGGCATCTTCTGATAATCTCTTCCTCGACTCGGTAATCTTTTCAGGCAGTGGGAGATCGTTCACGGAAATATCGAACACGTCTCTGCTAAACAACTGACGACTGGTTTCCCGTTACCTCCATTAATAACGGAGATGCCTTTGGCTGAATACATGGTGAAGAGAAAAGAGAAATAAATTATAAAGTTAACGGGAGATTATTCAACTGGATCTGAATTCATACTTCGATTCGCTTGAAGACCGATTTATTGGCGTCGTGCCCCGTCGTATAAGCGACATTTGGATATGAAAATGACTCTTAGATAAATGTGGGGGTGCATTGTCAAGCAGTCATGATGTCATCGGCACCAGGAGTTGCCGGAATATGCCGAAGCTCAAAACGGGCTTCGTCGTGTCCACCACACCTCGTCGTCTCGTACTTCCGGATTCTGTGCTCAATGCCCGGAAGAAAGTAAATCCAGGCAAGGTCCTCTACCTCTCGGACACGTCCTCGATTACAGGCCGCGGGCTGCAGGCTAAGTCTCATCAATGGAGTACTGCGGTGAGTATTTTACACTTCTCATCACACTTTGCCTGCTTACCACATATTTTCAAAGTCATGGAATACAACGTCCGACAGAGTTCAAATCGCGTCTTAAAAGGAACCTCGTCGACAGGACTCCTGCACATGGTCCCTTGATTGCGGTTATCGGACTTGCCGTTTGGTGTATACTCAGCCAGGATCAATCTTTTTGAGGAACGACCGCTTGAGTACGTTCATTCTGATACTTTTATTTTCTCAACTGACTTCGCTTCTACAGACTTACTTCCATGGCTCATCGTACATCATAGTGACTTCTGTGAGATGGGACCTGTTCGGGGTGGTCGCGCTGATGCTCATCTTTCTTCCAAAGATTACGAATAACGGACATACTCTTACATCGCCTATTTAGTCTTCGTACGTTCGAGTCCTCCTTCATGCGAATCCAGTTGCGATTTGGGAGCGTGCGCAAGGACCATTTTTCACGAGTAACCATAGACCGAGAGAAGTGATCTCCAAAATCGCGTGTACAACGTAAATTGGTGCAACCGAGAAGGGGGTCGCAAAGCCAAGGCGTGGCGGGGTTGAAGGAAGGAGTTCGGGCTGAAGAGTGACGGGTCTGTATTACATCGTCATTGATCCTTGCCTTCGTTGAGTCTGCCATTCACCATCATTTATACCTACAACTGGCCACATGCTTCCCAAACCCAATGCCTTTGGAAACGACGCCTATTTTTTTTTTCTGGCGCTATGACTGCTCCCTCCCGGCTGTATTCAGCGAGAGCTCTCACCAATTCGAACCTTGCCCGAGTCACGAAGCTGCAAATGAAGGAAAGGCGTGTTTAGACAATCCTTTTTATGACGAGACTTTTTCCAATTACTATGGTGACTATGCTTACATCCTGCTACCAGTGCCATACTGATTAGTTCGTAGAGGAATTTGTTAATCACGGCCAACTTGGTCTTCACTACCGCCAGCGCCCCGACCAACGATTGGACGACGAATGACATGCTCTTTCACAATTTATAACACTCCCAGTATGACTGTTGGGTTTATTCATGCGCGACGATCGTGATAGGGAGCATGGAGGGAGGGTATCGGGTGCGTTCATTATTCTCCGCTGTGTCTATTTCCACTTAGCTTTGTGTTCTCCGGGCGTCTTCTGATGGCACCAGTGCATCCCGATCCAGGAATACATTAGGCCTGCAAAACATCCTCACCGTTTACCCCTATTCTCCTTGATCGTTTGCCATGCGATAGCTTGCGGAGGGATTCCCGCACAATATTCCACCACTCCTTGTGCCGATTTCATAGAGAGCGAAAGCACCAGTCTCCTATTGCTGCATTTAACCTTCCCCAAGTCCAACATGGACAGATCTAAGGTTTCCTGTGAGCTCTGGATACCAGAATACCCAAGCAATAGACAGTAAGCTTTCGTCATTACCCTCTAGCCTGACTATAATGTTCTGAGGTCATCATATATTAGAAAGCCGTCTTCGAAGGCCTTGATTGCCAGCGGACAGTTCATCGTGTTGGATATATGTGGGACGATGGCGCCTACCCATTCGGTCGTACAAATTCCATAATCTCATCCCGCCCTAAGATATTTGAATGGCGAAGCGCATTCCGTGATTTCAGGGACGTGCCGAATGTCCTGTAGACCGGAGCGTGGCCGGCGGGGTTTACATCTTGCCTCAGCGATTCCCCATGTTGTTCCTACGATTGGCAAGACTGATGATCCGTATGCGAACGAAGACGACAAGGGCTCCATTGGGCTGACCCGCTCTCTCGTTACACAGTGATATTCAGGTCACTTCTTGCCGGCGCTGATGAGAAAATTTTGGAGCATGAGGACCATAAAAGCGATGTCCTTGGCACTGCTTGGCACCAATTTCTCTATTTCTGGTGAATATATGCGATGGATCCGTGCTATTTAGAGTCGGCATACGTGGTGTGGTGCTAATGGACCGGTACGCATCTAAACAAAGAACATTACTCTTATTACTCCGGAACAAGTTCGAACGGGTTTTGAAAGATGGAACGCGTTCAGACTCGGGTTTGGCAGGTATAATAGAGGGTTCTCTGGGCCTCATAACGGTTTGTCCTCTCTATTCATGTGTAACGAAGAAAATAATGTGTTTATGAGGAGATTGACAGATATTTCTTATTCTACGAAACCACCACAGGGATTTTCTGGTGGTTTTTTGGGCACATAACTATTATAAGGGTTTAGCGCTGGGAGGTATATCGGCAGTTCCAGGTCGCCGTAATGATGCTCATCTTTTTAGCAGGTTTCGAGTAGTGTCGCCATGTCCCGAAGTTGTTTAGCAGTTGTCTATTTATTCGCTCTGCGAACAGCCTCCACGTCAGTCCAAAGTCATCCGTTGTGTGACGACTTGAAAAAGAAATCACTCGGTGGCCTGGCTCGCAGTAATTCTACTACGATGGTTAGCGAAACCATCCCAGAGGCGAGACTTGCTTCACTATCTTACTCGCTGCCAGAACTACCTTCGAAATCGTCGAACCCGGATTCCCAGAGTAGTTCTGAGGATTATGGTGATACTTCGAGTGATTCTGAAACGTTGTCTCGTGCGTACGATCCTC